GGCACCTATCTCAGAGTGAAAATGAAAACAAAAAGAAGCTTCTAGACACACAGTTAAGCCAATGTCTGTTTTGGCCCCAAGGAATATTTTTCATCTGAGGTTGCTGACCTTGGCTGCTTGGGCACAGGGCTTCACTCCTCTTTCAATGTTCATCCGTGCTTTTCTCCAGCAGCTGAACACTGAATGCCATTTTTCACATATGTTTCTGTTTTGCCTTCCTCTCTCCAAGGAAATGTGTTCTTCTCTAGTGGTGAATCTGCAACATGGAAAGATAGTTCCATCACATGTTCCCTAAACAAACAGCAGTCTTGGTAGGCTACACTGGATAAGCTGGTACTGCAGCTGGTTTTTTGCAATGGCACAGATCATGCTAGAGGAAGGAGGATAAAGGTCAGTGAAAAGCCTAGGAAGGTATTCTGCTGGAAAGATCACCTGAGAGTCTGTAATGACCTAGGACGTCTTCAGACAGAGAGTTCCTAGCACTAACTATCAGAAGGCATTCTGCAGTTGCTCCATCTTTTCCTCCTTAACATTTTGGTTTTTTTTAAACCTGGTAGAAAAAGATGGCAGAAGCAGTAGGGGTACAAACTGAAAGTTGAAGTCATGTGCACTACTTCTTGACCATGTATAATTCCATGATTGAGATAGGCTGATTGTACAATAGAAACCTCATCTGAAAACAATCTGAGTGAAGGAATCATGCAATCTGGACAAAACCGCCTGGTGTGGAAGCAACGCATGATGCAACTATGAACTCCAATGACATGTAGCCATGAAAAGATGTTATGACTGCTCAAGATCTGCTAGGGAGATCCACTGCATGGCACTTGATGGCTCCATCTCCTCTGTCCTCCTGGATGGTGGTTCCCCATGCTGGGTTCTAAATTGTATGGGCAATACACACATCCAGAACAGGTTTCCACTTCAGACTTTCATCTCCAACAAGTAGAGGGTAGTGTGGCTGGCTGATAGGGATGCTATGGAGGCAGAGAGGACTATAACAGCAGCCTCCTCTTCCCCTCATCTAATAAAGGCAAAGTGCTGGAGAGGGCACAAGTTGGGTTTAACTACTGCTGTTTAGTTTCTTCAGGATTCTAGAGAGTAAAATGTTTTCTCTGAGTGTTGCAGGTTTTTTAACCTCTCTGGAATAACCTTCTTTGACTTTCTTAGGCCAGCCAGTGCCTCATGGAGCATTCCCAGTCCCAGGTCAGCATAGTGCACCTGCATCTCCACCAATAATTTGGATGCCAGTACCACCTGCAGTGCCCAAGTGCCCTCCTGGATTAGAATGTTTAAGCCAGGTATCTACAGCTCTCCTTTCCAGTTTTATCTTCTTTTCTGGTCCACAGTGAATTTAATTCTGTCAATCTGAATTAGTGTAGTGCGTGCTGACTCAGAGGAGTCTTTGGTGCATGCAAGAGGGAGAGAGGCTTCCCATTGGAACCAGAGTTCATTACAGGAAGATGTGTATTTGGTGCCAGTAGTTCAGACACCCCTCCCCCCCCCCTCACTCCCTGATGGTGCACTCCTAGGGGATGAGAGTACAGAGGGAAGAGAGATTCAGGAGGAAATCGAACGTGTAAGGCAACCAGAGGCTGACCCAGAGGTTGCCGAGGGGACAGCTGCAGCACCTGCAGATAAGGACGGTGAGAATGCAGGAGTTAGCCTTGAGGGGCCATTGGGGGACGTGTGCTCCTGCAGACACATGTGCAGATTGGGGCAGTTAGAAGTGAGACTGTTGGAGTGATGAAGAGGGAGGAGTCTTTCCGACCTGTCCATCGAGGGACAGCCCAGGAGAGTTAAAAGTATTTCATGAACTGATCCCATTCAGAAAGAGAGGACAGCATCATCATAATCACCAGCACAATCATTACCATCATCATTCATGTTTGAAACAGTTAGCTCTATGTAGAATAAAAACTTTAGTAGCAGTAACTGGGGTCATTGCTTTCATTGGGTAGAAGCACTCAGCCACATGACATTTAGGGAGCAGTAGCAAACAACCCCAACAAGCAAAGCAATGGTACCATTTTGCTTTATCAAAGATCCAAACTTTCAAAAACATGTTCCTTGTTGAATAGGTTGACCATTGTAAATACAGGTCCACCTTCCTATATATGAAGAAACCCAGAACTTAAGATTGGTTGGTGAGGTTTGCTTGTGATGCACTCAGGATGTGGCCTCTGGAGCTATCATGGGCATCACAGTCTTCTTGGTGGTGGCACCTTAACTATGGAATCTCCTTCCCAGGGTGGTTCACCTGGGACTTTGTTTTCATTTCACTGCCAAGCAAGGACATTTCTCTTCCCCGGGCATGTAAGATTTTAAATTTTAGATTTAGCAGATAGGTACTTTAATATATTTTACATTGCATTTTTCCTCTGCTATTTATTAATATTGTTTTGGTTTTGCATTGGTTTTGCTTTCTCTTATAGCTTTGTAACATGCCCAGAAAACTTTTGTCATTGGACATATCATAAATTAAAAGAAATATGTAGTAAAAATAAACATCAGTTACCCAGTTTCCAGGTGCAATTTGAGCAAGCATGTAGGTAATTGTGAAGTAACTAATGTCCCTGAGGAAGCTCAGATGGTCCCTGGAAGCAGAATGCAAAGAAAAGAGAAAAAATGATGAAGAGTATGGCATTTCTTTGACATATGCAGCACATGCTTAAGAGGCAAGTCACTCTTTAGTTTACATTTAGCCTTTTCTGCAACGCAAATAACTGTAAAATTATAAGGTTACTGTCCTGGATCAGACCAAGGTCTATCTAATCCAGTAATCTGGATCAACAATACAGTAAAATATAATATTAGATAACAATAAAACATCATACAATTACAGTACAAAATTTAAAATCCAAATTTAAAACCAAACAACTTTACAGGTTAAAACCAGCCACTTGAATTGGGCTTGAAAGGCAGCCAATGAAGACCAAAACTGGTGACATATGTTCAAATCCACAGGTCCCAGTTATAAGCCCCGAGGCTTGTTGCAAAGGGGGTAGCATAAAAATGCTTTAAATAAAATAAAATAATAAAATAAAATAAATAAGTCTGGATGCTGTATTTTGCAGAAGCAGCAGCTTCTAAACAATCTTCAATGGTCACCCTACGTCTAATGCATCACAGAGTGTAGATAAATGAACCAGGTTGTTGTTATATGCCTGGGGGTTTACAGGCATATAAGTTCTCCAAAATGCCTTGTCCGTGACAGCCAGGTATCCCTGTCCAGATAGGCCCCTAGTGGGTTATCTTTTACTGTGGCAACCTGGGCAGCTGGGTATATCCAGCCTTTACATTTTCTTCAGTGCCACAGAATTATGTTAGGCCATTGTAGGGATTGTGTGAAATTAAAAGGGTAGCTAAATCTGTCGTGCTGAGTGTGGGACCTAGCAACAGCAACAGCAGTAACAACAACAGCAACAGCAATGGGACCAAGACTTCAGACTGGTAATAGACCAGGCTAGGGATGTTCCAAACTCTGAGGAGTTAAAGAATTGTTTAGAAACAACACAAAACAGAACTAAATGGGGAAGTATAATTGCTACAGGGAAATTTAATGAATACATGGAAGGTGCAATCTGATAGAGCTGCCTACAACCCTTCCAACTTGGAGGCTTTAAGGGCATCTTATACCAAGCAAGAGGAGCACAAAAGTCACCTCTGTGCTCCCTTGCCATGCAAAGCAGGTAGATGGCCAGTTGCATCCCTTCTCTGGGGTCATTCTTATAAGGGAATGGCACCCTCAGTGCAGATCCCAAGTTCTGATTGGAACTCTTTCCCAGCCTTGGTGCTAGCCTGTAGGTGGCTAGCCTCTTTTCCAGCCTCTAGGTGGCCTTTAAGGGTCATAGGCTCACCCAGTGAGCTATTTGACATTCCAGTCTATTTTTTACCTTGGTGGTAAAATTTATTATGACTTGAAATAGGTGGTATCTTAATATGATGTCCACTTAAAAGTATAGAATAAAAATAAAAGAGCACTCCATCTCAGCCTGGTGCCCTCTGCATGTATTGGACTTCAGGAACTCTCAGCCATCAGCGGCATGCCCAGTGATCAGGGGACTCATAGTATGAAGCATCTGGAGGCCACCGGACTGGGATTATTATACAATCTTGTAATTTATGGATTTATGTAATTGGTTTTTTTTTCCTCCATACATTTCAGTTTTAACAGAAGTTTGTGGGGTTTTTTTTATCATTGAAACAGATTGATCAACTATCAGTTGAGCAGCAGATTGAGCTCATGGAAAGTATGTATCCTGTTAAATTTCTTCAATAATTATTGGGCATTCAGTAATTAGTACAAGTTGTAAATGCTTTGTCCTGCAAATCTAGAGTACTCCTATGAGTTGAAATATTAATTAATATAGCTTTGTAGATCATTCCCCAGACCTTTCCAGCACTCAAGGCAGCATGCAGTACAGAGAAAAACTGAACAAATCAGCAAACCAGCAGGAACAGAGCAGGATGGAGGGAAGAGCCAGTACTGATAAAAACAAAGGAACTGGCTAAGTCAAAGGTCAAGCAGAATGGCTGGGTCCATTCATTATTTTTAAAAATGCAGGGATGGTTAAAAAATGTCTGACATTACTTCAAGAGTAAGGATCCAAGTAAGATGCAGCACTCTTCCAGTAGGGCAGAATCCAGCCAGAAAGATACAATCCAGTATCTTTCCAGCCAGCCATGCTGGGTGAGGCATGTTGGGAATTGTAGGACTTTTTCCTGTCTGAACATACATAGGACTGTGCCTTTACTGGGGCAAAGTCATCACATCGTATTATGAAACTTGGTCAACTAATTAGGCACTTGGGGAGGCGATTAGACTGGAACCATTTGCAGGCTGTATGTTGCCATGTATTATTTCACAAGCAGGACAAAGCTTTAGGGCTGAAGTTTGAGGCTGGGTTGACTGATCTGGTGATGGATTCTTTTCCGTAACACTACTGACAACAGTTTGGATCAACTCATCTGCTGTATTGACATTGCTTCCTTTTCAGTGATAAGTGGCTATGAAACTTGCAACAGATACGAAGTCAAAAACCCTCTGGGTCAGTGGCTGTACTTTGCAGCTGAGGAAAATGATGACTTCACCCTGAATATGTACGGGGCATTGCGACCATTCACCATTAAGCTCTTTAACAGTACAAACCAGCCAGTCATTCAGCTGTCAAGATCTTTCCAGTGTTCCATTTGCTGCTGTCCTTGTGTTTGCTGCTTGCAAGAGGTAAGTGTCTCCAAGAGTCAGTCCCTCAATTCCCCTCCCCTTAAATCATGTTTGAGTCCATCAAGATACCCCCTTATGCAATTTTTAAATTTGGTTACTTATCAAGGTTTTCTTGAAATTTGGTTAGTTTTAAAGTTTGCTCACATGGCTTCAAGCAATTCAGTATTTTAACTATGAGAATTTCACCATCATTGCTGAATTATTACACTTTCCATTATAATAGTTGCAAAAGCTTTTCTATTCTCTGGTAATTTTGTTATGTACAGAATTTTGTTTCTGCTCCCAAACCATGCAAGCCTACCATGTTATCAACACTAAATGTATGCATGAGGACATGTCAGCTGAAAATTTTTGCACGTTACCAAACATGTCCTCAAGTTTAATTTGCATGCACTTTTCCATTCATCTTCCACAAAGTTCTAGAGCAGTTCCCCTTTTGTCTATAGGGAAAACATGTAAAACTTTGGAGATGTGTGCAAAATTGGGGAGTTGTCACTCTCAATCCCTATTTTGTGAAATGTTCTTGTTCATGAAAAATGTTGATCACAAACAAGAATGCACATGGGATGTCAGATGAGAGGAGAGGTGATGACTGGAGAATCATAGCAAACTTGATTGCCCATCCCTAATTCTGAGGCTGTATTGGAATTTTATAGGCCATTGTAATGATGGTAAGATTATGTGCTGCACCACAAAAAATTAAAGTCTTCTGATTAGTGACTGTAAAATCTGTGTCAGTTGTACAAACATTCTGCGCAAGCTTTTCCTTTCAAAAGAAAATATTTTGAGCCAAAAGAGCCTGCCCTCTAGGTCCTATTGAAAGAACAGAAAATGATCGAAGCCACCACCCACAAACAGGTACTCGCAAAAGAATGCAGCCGGAAGCAGACTTGGATGTTAGCAGCTAGCAATGACTGAGAAACTGATATCTGATCCTTCTTTGGAAATCACTAAATTATTTGCTGGAGGGATTTTTCTGTAGCAAGAAATTCCATTAATTCAGCTTCTCTCAAGTTAAGTGCAGAGTGTTATGGAAGACACTGCAGTCTTCAGTGACAGTTAGCAACCATGGAGACAGGCATTTTAAGAAAACTTTACTAACTACAGGAAGCCAAGAACATAAAAAGTGGCAACAAAGTGTTCTTGCCTAATTACTCTGCAGCTCATCTATGAAAGGTCAGATCTGGGAGTAACAACCTATCCAAAGCAGCAAATATTTCGTAGCCATAGGAAATGCTAATATAATTTGGCATGTGGTTTACAGCACTGAAGTGATCTCCCTAAACATGAAAACTACAGCAATTTCAGCAACAGGTTACTCAAACCCAATGAGAAGTATCTTTTGAACGTATATCTTATTTTCAGGAAAACTTCATCTACTAAGTGTAACCTCCTAGTTTTCTGTTGCTGTTATTGTTGCACTGCTGTATATGTAAGTGTACAAATCTGGTTCAAATCTGGATATAATTTGGTTAGAGCTCAACCATGTAGTGCAAACTAGTGGGAAGAACTTTGGCCAGGTCTCCTGGTGCAACCCTTGTTTTCTCTCTATCCTAGATCTGTTAGCTGGGTCTTCTGGAAGAATTGGCTAAGCCGCATAATTGTAGCAAAGAAGAAATGGCTCATTCTTCTTGAATGGCAAAGAAATGTCACTGCCCTTTTCCCTGAGAAGAAACAAGAGAGATTGTACTGCATGCAGGGTGCTAGAAACTAGAACTGTGTGTGCTCTTGCCTAAAAGTAACCTTTTCCTAGCATCCCTTTTTGTTAATGTGATCATGAGCCAGGATTGGCAGATTGTTAGGTCAAACCCCTGTGAAATCCTTTCCTTTTCCTTATTCTGGAAAGCTTGCCCCCAAACTGTATTTTACTCTCTCGGTCATGTTAGGATTCCTTGTTTGCCTATCCCCAGCTTCCTTGCTGCTTCTGAATGAGGAAGCCCAGCCTCTATCTCAGCCACCAAGATACCCATACAAATTTATTTACAATTTAATTCACATTGCATATGTTTAACATTTTACATGCTGTGTTTGTTTTAAATTCTGAATGCTTCATCAGTTAATTTTTCCAGTTAACAAGTGCATATTCTAGACTCTTCTGTGTGTTTAATAAATACCCTGGTATTGAAGAAGCTGATGTGTGGGAGAGTCATTCTTCTAGATACCCTATTGCCAAGTTTAAATGTACCCTAATGAATGCATGAATGAGAGCCAGTGTGGCATAGTGGTTAGAGTGTCAGACTAGGGACCTTGGAGATCCAGGTTATAGTGTATATCCAGTGTATATACACATATATCCAGTTCCAAAGAATGTATCTGGGCCCCATTATGCAGCCCCATCAAGATATCCATGTGGAATGAAGATAGCAAGATCTGGAGACCCCATAGTAGGAGGCAAGAAATTTGACCAGGGAAAGTTGACCATTGGATCCTATGGGCCTCATGTTGCCTACCCTGTCTCATGATATGCATTTTTCTGTGGAAGTCTATGTATTTCTTGCATAGTTCTGCACTATACAAAAGTTACAAAAGGTGTCTTTCATTCTAACTGTGCTGCATTTTTCTTAAAGCTTGAAGTTCAGGCCCCACCAGGCACAATCATTGGCTATGTGAAGCAGAAGTGGCACCCATGTAAGCCTAGATTTTCTTTACAAAATGAGGCCAGAGAAGATATACTTAAAATGTCTGGGCCTTGTGTTCCATGCCGCTGTTTTGAGGATATTCTTTTTCAGGTAAGCTAACCTTTAAAAGCTGAATTGTTTTATTTTCTCAGCAAGACTGTTGATATTGAGAATATATTGTTTGTGAATGTTAACAGCACTGTGGTGGTTAACTGTATGAAGGAACTGAAGGAGCTTTGTTAGAAACAAACGAGCACGCTACCTCTGGCACTCTTGTTGCTTCAGCGTTCAAGCAGCAACCTACGATTATTGCATTCATAGATTGTTTGTGTGGTCACTCCAGGTTGTTTAGTCACTCCAGGTTGTTTAGTGGCTAAACATGCCAGAGATAACTCAATAACAAATAGTAGATTACTCTGAGTAGTTTGATTCCTAAGTTCTAAACCATACAGAATGTCCAGGTTTGTGAGCATAGTGGAAAGGAAAATGCACTGGAGGTGATGTGTTTGCTCACTCCTGATTGCAGCAACTCATGGGTTAGAAAAATTACCAATATGTTGATGTGCAAAATGTATCAATAAGCTGATCCATAAGTGCTGGAGTGAAGTTCTCAAAATACTACTTCCTGCTTTGCTCCAGCTCTGTGATTGTTGGTGTGTGTGTGTGTGTGTTTCATTTAGCTTTTAATAAATGTCTTACAATACAGTGTCCATAGATATACACATTTTAAAATCAATAATGAAAATCAACATACAAATTGTTTTAAAAATCCTACCATCGAGCATGAAAGACATGACAGCACAATAGGTTATATATGCACAATAGGTTATATACGCAACAACTAAAATCTAAAACAACTTTCAAGTATTATGGCATACTAAAATCTGTACAAATGCCTGTTTAATTAAGATAAGTTTCCAAAGAAGCAAAGCAAAGCAAAAACAATACCAGGCGAAACACTGGAAGCAGCTGGGCATCTGTTAAGAATACTTTAATGTGGAGTGCTGCATTGAGCAGGGTGTTTGTCCTGATGGCATTCTTGGCCTCTTCCAGGTCTATTTTATGATTCTGTGATTCATTATAGGTCTGAAGATTTCATTGCCTATAAAAGTGACACCTGTTGAACTAATAACTTGAAAGGTGGCATCTGTGATCTACACAATGAGTGCCATGATTGTGCAAAATTTCAAACCATTTATAGAAAGTTCTATGTAGCAGTAAAAAGAGTCAATGTGTCAACTGACCTTTCTATTCTAAATTATTTTGGAGTATACAACAATTGTATCTTTTTCTGAAACTTCAATGAAAACCATTGCATGCTTCATTTAGGCTTGTTGCAAAGGCACACAAACCTTGATTTTGTGAAGTTCTAAGTGATGGCTCAAAGGTTATTAAGGTTTTCATGCTCCATTATAACCTGTGGCAGCAAAGTTATGCGGTGCCTGAGCAGCTTCATTCTGAGGATAGAGAGCTGCCAGTACTCCAATTGTTGAAACTTTTACATCCTATGCACAGTGCCCATTTCTTTAATTATGGAACATTACTTGTATGCTTATGTTACTACACAGATTGGTACCCTAGCATGGGAAGTGCTTAAGGGGACCTTAATCCCCGTGGTTCCAATCTGGGTCAGGCTCTCCACAAGTACTGTTTACATTACTCAAAAGTCAACAGCTGTAATGCAACTTTCTGGGATAGGACAAAGGGTTAGATCTCTCCACTCTAGGATCTATACTGGGTGACATTTGGAGAAAAAAAGTTGGACAACCACCTTTAAAGTAACATCTAGTTTGATCCTCAGAGAGTTGTGAGGGGCTGGGGAGTGTTCAGAAGGGGGAAGCAGAAACATCAGACTTCACACTACCTTTCTGAAGGCAGAAATGTCATGCAAGGGTCCCAATCTTTTCTCTTTCTTTCTGTGTGACAGGTGAAGAAAAACAGCATATTGACACCCATTTGCTGTCTTTCTGGAAGCAGAAAAACAGTGGGAATGTCCCAGTCTTTGCTGTTCTTTTCTCTGTGGTACGAAAGGAATGTGTGAGGATCATGTCTCACAGTAGGACTAGTCACACATTACACACAACATAGATTCATACTCCATGCCTGCTCATCAAGATGGTTGTTGAGAATCTAGCTTTCTTCAGTTGATTTGCTCATGTGTAGGTTCTATAGTCTGGATGGAGTCACTGGGGTGGTGGGTGTGGGGTTGGGTGGACTCTGGGGGAAGGTAAAGAGCAAGAGAACCTGGAGAAACATTGTCCATGGGGTTGCAAAGGGTTGGACACAACTTTGCAACTAAACAAGAACCGTTCTATAGGCAAGGGATGGGAGTACGAACACATTCTGAAGTGCCATCCTCCCTCCATCACTGTTTGTTGCCCTCTATCCTCCTGTCTGCACAGGAGACTTTTCCTCCATATGTAAAATCTTCCCCAGGATTTTAGAATCTTGACGCTTGCCATTAAGTCCAGCTTGCCCAATGGAGCTCTGTCAGCATTTTGACAGCTTGGAAGAGGTAGCAGCAGGAAGCAGGAAACTGTCAAGTGAGACCAATGGGAAATAATTTTGAGGGCTACAGGAGTCACTCTGAGTGACTAACGGTCACTGATGAAAAGAGAGGGAAACATACAGGAGGATTCTTTTATCAACACCTATAAGACTCAGATGATTCCTGAGAAAATAGGTGTTTATTGACAACTATTGACATTTCTACGATTCATTGATGGAAAAGTTTGTGTAGATTTACTTATGATAAATTATGTAATACAATCACACTATATCTGAATTGTTTGAATATATCATTTGTTTTCATTAATATTACATATTATTCATGCTATCTTTTAAAAATGTTTACTAGGCACTTTCTTTTGTTGGATATTCACTCAGTAAAAATAATGAAAATCTTTTTTTTGAAAAAAGAAGAAACACTGCAGTGACAATTTTCCCAAACCTATTTAAAAACTAGGTGAAGGCACTAGATGAGATAGCCGTTCTTGGAACAATTTCTAGGAAGTGGACTGGCATGGCCAGAGAGGCTGCAACAGATGCCAGCATCTTCAACGTTACCTTCCCAGCAGATCTGGATATTAAAATGAAAGCAATTGTGATTGGGGCTTGCTTCCTCTTGGTAAGTCTTGAGGCTTGGTCTTTACAGTCAAATTAAAGCAGAGTTGCAGAGTCTCTTTCAGCCCAAGGGCTGACGCTCTCAGGAGCCAGAGTCTTTTGACCAAAGACAAAAAGGACAGGGACAAACCATCAGCCCACCAATGCCAGGCTGTTTACTTTTGGAGCTCTTACTTCAGTGCTCCCATATCAGTAGAAACTGGGTACCTGTTGTGCAATATAAAGACCTTTTTGGATTTCAGTTTGTAGTTCATCTAACTATTTTTCTTCTGTTTTGTTACCAAGGATTTCATGTATTTCGAACGGCAAGGAAACAGGAACAAACAGAACAGGAGAACTGGGGTGCATGGGGCTCCTCGGACATATGGACACCGCAGGCGTTAGTTTAGGCCCATGTTGCCTTATGAATACCTCAGAGCAATTACATTATCCCATGGCTTTTTTGATAGAATACTCTATGGAATCTGAGGGTGGGGGCATGGCAGGTTATGTTATATATTTGTACAACTTCCAGTTGTATCTGTACTGACAGTACCTATTGCATAATATGTCCTATAAGCAATTCAAAAGTTTGCAAAATACACTGAATATTTAAAAAGTATTACTTCAGTGCAGCAGGATGGCTGTGTACTTATATCAGAATAATAAGTATGAACAGATATTATGCATTATACTAATTTTCCAGAATACCAGCTGTCAACAGCAAATGGGGGGTCACTTTTTGCCCCTCCATTTCCAATTTGTGCTCTTGCCACCATTATGGAAGGACAGACACCTAGGAGGCAGCTAAACATCATTTCTCCAAGTTTACTTTGCTATGTCTCTTTTATGTTATTTTTTCTTTTATTCATATGATTCTTATGATTATATACTGAATGTTTCCAACTGTTTAGTGAAGTGAAAATTTTGTTAACCATGTTGGACTTCCAGTTGTTATACAACTAACATTAAATACCTACATGAAGCTAATGACAGCACTACTGCTTTGGTTTTGAACAGTTGCTTTAAAGAACCAAATAGTGAACACCTGCAAAGTAATCGTTGCACCCTGCAAGGGAAATCTCTGCTCATTAGAAAGTTGCTATGCATGAATTATCCATAACAATCCAGTTACCAATCCAACAAACTGGTGATGCCATGAAGAAAGAGCAGCAGCTCACATCCAGCACATGGGCTGTATTCACACATCATTCTGTGCTAAGCTGGGAAGAAGCCATGCTGGATGGATAGTTTGTCTTACTGCCCCGCAGAGGATATTCTGGTCCATAGCTTCTCAATATTGTTGTTCTTCTCTTAGTCTTTCTCAGTCCTCAAGCCTACTGCCAGCATGTAGTTCAGGGAGCTTTGCTGCCAAAATCTTCATGTTTTTGTTCCCTGTATCAGCTTCCTCTCTGTAATTGGTTGCTGGCTTACAAGGGAAATCCTCCCCATCCTCCATGGAAACACAAGCTTATCCCCACCTTACACTGAAGTAGGGGGAGCATAGTAATGTACTTTTTAAAAACTATTTTTCTGTCCTGAAATTTGTGCAATTTCCTTTTTTAGTGTTCTGTCTTCCAGTGTTCTGCCTTAATTGGGTGCTGCTTTTGCTTTTCCACTCACTATTCATATATATCTGACAGATTGCAACAAAGAGCTTACAAGCAAGTGCTGAAGACATCCCTTGCGCTCCCTGTGATCTTGCTAGTGCCCCTTCCATTCCCACTCATCACTTCACAACCCAAGGAATGTTCACTAGTGTGCATGTGATTTTTTTTTTAATTCTCTCTTGTGAATGAGCACTTCAAAGAGGATGACATTTACAAGGACATGGAGCTGGAAGTAAAGCTCTACACTTTAAGTTTATCTATGCAGTGCTGCTAGTCAGCTGTTTTTTTATGTATTTATTTGGGATACTTGCATGCCGTCCCATTCGCATAAGCCTCGGGTATTCATCCCAGGTATCTACTGCTGATGTTGTGATGAGAAGCTTTTCCTTTCCTGCTTCCAGCTACAGAACCTCTGGGTGGCACTGTGGTATAGTGGAACAGTGAAAGAGTGCAAATACACAATAGGAAATTGCTTCTTTCACTTTGATAGTTAAATGCCACTTTTGCCCTGCTCTAAAAAATGCATCAAAGGTTCTGGCTAAACACAGAGATAAAACTGCAAACATAGAAGTGAAACTCAGAATATTTGTGTGTGTCATTGAGTTATTTAGGATGCCATCTAGAGAATCCATAAACAACTATGAATAGGGCTTGATGAGCACCGAGTTGTCATGAACAAAATGAAAACATGTTATCCCCACAACCTTGTTCTCACTGCATCCAAGTGTGGAACTAAGCAACCCTCTGACACCCAGCTATGTGAGCAACCCATGATTTTGCAACCCATTGCAACCCATGATTTTGTGCTAATGTCCTTTTTTCAGGGTGGGGGGAATATCCAGAGAGATTCAGAGCTCAGGCCATATCAAAATGGAATGGAATGGAATGATGGAAGGATGGATAGATGGATGAAGGTCCTCAATATATGGGGCCAGACACATAGTGCTACCCTACATGGCCATCACTCAAAGGTTGAAAGACAACATAGCACATGGGATGCAGTCATCCCATCTTCCAACAATTCATTAGTTTCATAGAATTACAATAGTTACACTCACGAGAGAAACATGTATACATGAGGATGCATGATATCCACTTGATATTTATCTATGACTTGTACTCATGTTACTTTGGATATGATGGCTTCATTCTTGGTTCTTACTACCAGTGGTATGTGCAGGAAATTGCCATAGAGATGCATGTCCATTCAGAAAAACCTTTGACCTAGTAAAGGCTTCTGTTTGAGCAGAAGGAGAAGAAAAGTGATTTTCATTGATTCTCTTTCTCATGGTAGTCTGTCTGCCCTGCAAGTATCTTCTTCCGAAAGGTAGGGAGCCATCCTGAACGGCATAGGAGGTGGTGGGAGAGTGTAGCAGGAGAAAGGGAGAACTGGCAAAAGCAATGGTGCCTGCCCTTTCGTGCATGGAAGCATCTGCAGTATTCAGGATCCTTCTGTGAACAGAAAATCACTGGATGCAACCCTATTAATGCAGATGTAGTCTAACATCAGCACAGGCCTTTGCTGTAATTCTATGAAACTAAGGAAAGTAAATTTGGTTTTCCTAACTTTGAAAGCCACATTCCTTCATTCTGGAGGGAGGACCACATAACCATGCTGAGGATTAACGTAGTGCCAGAAACACAAGGGATCTTTCTTTTATCCGCTAGGCTGCAACACCACTCCGTTTATTTCCCCGTTCATAAATCCAGGCTTTTGAAAGTATTATAAGATTTTCAGCTTAGAATGTGTTACTTAATTCCTTCTGGTTTAGATAAAACTATTACATAAAACATTTATAGCATGAAATTCCCAGATGGCTTTCTGTTAAAGTCTTCTTCAGCTGTGTGATTGCTATAAATTACTCCCTCTTTCTCTCTCTGCATATAGGACAAGATACATTTATTGAAACTTTAATGTCTTTCTATAGGAGCTGAAAAGAATATTGACTGGTATGATGATATATTGCTAAAAAGAAAAATCTCATCTATCAAAGCTAAAATCATTTAATAAAACTATTTTTTCTATTACATTGACATAGAGAAATACAGAGAGAAAGAAAGTGATAATTCATAAGAAATGCAAATAAAATTTTAATTCTTTACAGTTTGTTGATATGATATCAGTTGCTATATTTTCTTGATAAATTTCATTTCAAAAATTGTTACTATGACTTGTTTAAAAATGTAAAAAAAGTGTATGTTTGTACTAATAGCTTGCTGTTAGCTTGAAATGCTACAGCATACTACATTTAAAGCATAAATACTAATGAATGAATGAATGAAACTGCTCCAATATAACTGCAAATATCAACCCCACCATATACATGTCCACTCAGAAGTACCTTCCATTCAGATTCAGTGAGACTTACTTCCTGGTAAACCCATTTAAAACAGCCAGCCTATGGACATCATTTATCAGACATATAGGCCTGTAAATTTTGAGACCTGCTAAGATCAGTATTGTAGCCTTCTAGACTACAGGTGTTATAAGTGATTTATTGCCAAAAAAGCAAATGCCTCATATGGGTAATGCAAAACTCTTTTTCAAGGACAAAATCTAGGCTATCCTCCTTGGCACATGAAGAATCTGTGACAAAGCAAGAATGAAGCTTGTTTCCAGGCCACAAATGGCCCCCGCTGGTGTGTCAGATAAGGCTCGGAATCTCGAAGCTATCCAGTATACTAATAACATCCATCCCATTTTCATTTTGTCAATGTCAACAAACAGCACCATCCACACACAAGAGGGAAATATCTTCTGGTGTAGGAAAACCTAATAATTGCAGTAATACAATAACCGAAAACTTGTGGAAGTAAAAATGCTGAGCAACTCCTGGTGGGGTAGGCTGAAGTACTCTGTGTGTGTGTGAGGAGGGGGGGGGATGGAAAATCAGGAATGGGGAGGAGTGAAATATCCCAGGAACAGAATGGGATATCCCAGGAGAAGTCATGGCTGCTTGGCTGTAATATTGAACCATGTGAGAAGTGTGCACTGTACCATCTGGTTGAAGAGTACAGTGTTTGTATTATCCTATTTCCAAATTCAGAACGTGTTATCCAACCTACCATAACAGTTGATCATATTTTGAGCGTCTCATGTGTTCTTAGCATACTTTTTACGCAAAATAACATTAAGTAAGCATAAATAAAAGGGAAGATGTAGTTCATTCAAATAAAGTAATACATAAAGCAAAGCCAGTAAACAACATCTGGAAAACTGTTCAAGTATCTCTACAGAAAACTGTATTCAGATGCATTCAAATATTCATTTAACATTGAGAGTACCATGTGGACAACAGAGGGCAGTGCTACCATAGTTTATTTCATATGTGTATTCTTTCAAGTTTGTTTGGAGTTCCAACAAATCTTGGAGTTACTGGGCCCATCTCCTCAGTGACAACATTATATCTCTTATTTAAAACTCTGACTTTTTCCCCCTAGAGTTGCTTGATACAAAGAACTGTTCTTCCCAGTGAAGCATCCAAATCAAACATTTCTAGACGTCAAGAACTCCTCGAAAATATTTAGAAAGATGTGCACATAACACCTGACTGTACAAACAAAATGAAACAAATATTTGTTTATTTCTTTAAGAGGCATTTTCCTGTTTATTAGGGTAGTGATAACAGGGGCTTCTGTTTCACCCAAGAGAGTAATAATAGTATAGCCTTCCCAGTAAATTTGACCCAGTGATGATTGCAAAAAAGAACAAGAGGTAGACAAATGTGAAAACTCCAAGCAGAGGGAGGTATGACATGAAAGCAGTCATGCAATCAAGTGAGGTATTTGTAACTCTGCTTGGGAACAAATCAATTTATCAATTAAATAATGGGAAACTAAAAGAGAGACAAGAAGAAAACCATGGAAAAAAGCCAGGTCAGAGAAATAACACTGGCAGGCCTCCTTCTCTGTGTTACAAGTTCAGAATACTTAAAACATTGAGGGTAAGATTCAGACTTAACCATATTTAAAGTGTATCCCCTGAAATCATTGAATATTCAGTCATCAGTCTGACATCAGTCCAGTTTATTTCAATGGAATCCTACTGTAAGCATGACTAAGCCTGCATGCAACTTTGTCAACTCCTAAAATGGAATTAAGAGTCCAACTAGATAGTCATTCCAGGAAAGTCAACCATCCAATGTGCTGAAACAGTGCTCTGTTTTCTCTTGGCCACAAACACACTGGCCAGCACCTTCAGCAGACTGGACTTGGTAATGGAGTGTCCTGAAATCAAATGGCATTCTGTACCTAAGGAATTCCAACATATTCCATTATACCCATGCCTCTTGCATATGTAATTTATCTGTTCCAAAGTTTCGGTAACCATCCCCTTTAATTCTCTTTAGACTTCTAGACCACCTCTTTCTCCTCTTTGCA